GACATTGTTTCAAGCAATTTATATATAGGAAGATGCCAAGGGAAAGCAGCTTTACATAGTTAGATTCAGAGAGGAGAGAAGCGTGGTCCTTTCTAAGGGACTCAATCTGACCAAACACATCCTTCAAGAACCGAGTGGCTTCGCATAGTATGGAGGCTTTACCACTGTTGTGCTGATTCAACTCTGAGACAGAGAATGCAAATGGTTTTTCACAATCTGTAACACAATCAATTGTTCATTGAAATAAAAGGAATGAATCTGGGTACCAAGGTTATCAGCTAAATCGATGAAAAGCTCATTCAAATGCTCGCGTTTAAGCCTCTCCCGAACAGCCTTGTTGATCCTTTTGGGTACTTTACCTTTCCGAGACCTGAAGCAGCAAAGATGAAGAATGAATTTAAACAAGAAAGATATAAGTTAATCAGCAGGAAAAATAGAGGGCAAAATCCATTCACAAATTCTTCACCTTTGATCTACTACAGTAGCAGTAGCAGCATTCCTTTCATCATCATCAGTCGATGTGGAAGGAGTTTTGGATCCCATCTTCTTGATTGAGATTCTCTGTCAATTTAGAGACGAGATTTAATTCAAATAAACCCTAATTGAAGATTCATCTATCCGACAAATCGTTGAAACCGTGGCATGATTCAATTAGTATAGTTTGTTTGGTGTGATTTTGATTCCTCAAAAACTCTACGAGATTCTCACCTTTTTCAACTGGTCAAATCAAACAGTGAACAATACCAAAAACAGAGCTTAATAAAAGTCAGAAATCTACCTCTAAAAGTTTCCGGGGAGAATTCCTTGTTGATGATCAGGATTCGAAACGAGTGGAAGAAGAAAGAAAATAGCAGTACAAGAATCTGAGAGGAGGAGGATTGGAGGAGCAAAGCAAAGCAAAGCAAAAACAAGGACAAGGGCGTGTGGGGGAAAAGAGGAGGCGCGTGGAGAGCACAGAGGAACTGATCCCTGTAATTGGGACACGTCAGCTCCACATGCCGTTCTCTTTTTCTCTTTTGTCGTCTTCTCTTACGTCGCGTGCCACTAAGCTCATCGTTTCTTCTCGACACGTCATCGTATCTTAATAAAATATTTAC